CAAAGTGGACTTACGGGGCATCATCTTGGCACGAGCCATACTTTAGAGAAAACCAATTTAATCCAAGTAAGACCACTTGATCAAAGTCTAAAGAGCAGCTATGATGGATTACATTCCTCAAACCGGACTCACTACTCAACTCCAGACTAAGAGGTGAAGGAAGTAACGAGTGAATTATTCATGATGCATGAATCGTTCTTACGAACAAAAACATCAAAGTTTATAATGCACATAAACAACATTTATTTTTTTATATAGGGCATAGTAAGATTACTACTCCACCACACAAGACCCTTTTAATCAAATAAGGAATGGTGAGAAAGAAATAAGACAAGTCAGAAGCAATTTGGACCAAATTAATCAAGTTAAATTTAGTCATCCCAAATCATTTTGAAGTTTTTGTAAACCAATACCACAAAAACTTTGTAACGATCGCTCTGATACCATTCTGTGGCAGAACCTCCTAAATTATAGGATCCACATACATTTGTCACTGTCCAAAGACCTTTGACAACAATGCATATGTTCCTGGTAACTTAAGAAGTCTGTCGGGTGTCCTCGGGGAACCTCGAATCATCCACGATTTCCGAGCAGGATCACGTTACAGAGCCATTGTAGTATTACAACAGTTTATTCAAATAGACACATCAGAGTAAAAGTAGCGGAAGACTTGCAATAACATAGTTTACAAACTATTTGTTTCAAACCGTACAACTAAGTTCGATATTAATACAAACCAAAGTAGTGGAGCGGCATTATAATATAATACAAAACACACAACGAGGCTGCCTTACGCCTTAAGGGCCACACAATTACTTCTCAACGCCATCACAAGGTACAATCATCATGCAAACGATCCAAAATAGATCTCGCTCATGAGGCTCACCAACAAGGGTCAATCGAACCACGAGTACAAAAAAGTACTCAACAAGACTTAACCGAAATAAGAACTGATAACTTTCGGGAATGCGGGCTCGTGGATTTAAGGTATGGTTTTAGCAATAGTCAAAGTTATTTTATGTAAAAGCTCTTTGACAAAATTCTTTGTTTCAACAGTTTAAACTTCATAAAATCATATACAAAGATGACACGATCCGTAATGAGATCATGAAACTTCATATCCAACACCTTCATCAACCATTCTCAAGTTCCAGCTTATTAATTACTACGATGATGAGCAAAGAGTTGAGTCTCCATAACCGAGGAGCAACGACGATTCGAACCGATTATAAACCCAAATGGGATTCCAGACCACCACGACATATGCGGGTCCCCGACCTACATATACCAACCTATTCTCGGATCCTCTAAAACAAGAACGGGTCCGCGCCACTCGAGAATACAATTACTCCACCAATCCACCCATTGCCACGTGGGTACACTCTATTCCGCCATCTCTCCACTCCCGGTCGCGAGTAGCCATTCTCGTAATAGAATTGCCAAGTTTAGGCTTACGGAGTATGTGGTTAGTACTACAAATTCTCACCTCATGCAATTCAACAACGGACGTGCCTTAATCGACACAGTGGAAAGATCCCGCTCACAAGACCTCCATGTCTTGTGGCTCACACACACCGAGTCCGCCCGTCTAGATTTATTACTCCACATTCCCATATCACATGCTAACATAATTAACCAATGTTCCATTTAAAACTTGTAGGTGGCGGTGTAGTCACCGACTTCATCGTTCTCACGATAGCTAAGCAAAACTAGGCATATACTGAGTTCAAAACCGATAATATGGTAAATATGGAATAACAAGGGTGGTAATGCACCAATTAGGCTCTTACTTAACTCTTAATCACTTAATGCAAGAATGGGAAAGCAAAAGCGAAATTAATTTGTAAAACATAAGGTAGGGTTGTATGCATCCGGGGCTTGCCTTCGTTGATGGAAAAAGTCCGGCTCTGCGACGTTTACAAGTCTTCGATCCGACCTCAATAGATGCAGATCAACCTCCTCCGCAACTTGATTAACTACCACGTGTTCACCTTCGTTTACTACACGTAGTAACATTGCCATGTTTAACATGATGCGGAATATGAAACATGATGCTCGATGATGGATGCAAAAATTAATAAATTGGATACAATTTTCCTTCGCAGTATAGTTACAAACCAAACTAACCAAACCATATTCGTAACTGATGTGACCACGCCAGCACTGATCACTTTGGTGAACTCTCCGACCACTATGGTGAACTATCCGACCACTACGGTGAACTATCCGACCACTACGGTGAACTATCCGACCACTACGGTGAACTATCCGACCACTACGGTGAACTATGCGGAGCAAATATCGTCGGTGAGGGAGAACCGGCGACTGCAGTGATCAAAATGAGTAAACAACAACTGACTAAGGACTACAACATCGAAACGAAGCCGTAAGTACATTGATTACAGACAACGGCTCACCGAAGGGCTCTGGCCACGATGACACGCCCGCAGCGGTGAAGTTGCTGACCTCGAGGAAGAAAAACATGGACAGTGAGTTCTCGACAATTTCAGGCGACCAATGTTAGCTGGCTGGATTCGCAAGGAAAAGATGGAACTAGGACGGCCTTTACCAAGATGGCAACAGCGCTGGGGAGACGATGCGAGCTTGTTGGAGCGATGACAACGGCGGTGGTGAAAACAAAGGAAGAAGAAAAACGACGATGACGACGTCTTAGTACTTATAGCGCGGCGCAGAAGCTCAAGGAAGCCACGACGGAGCCGTTTCCGTGCCAGCGCGACATCAAGGATGCCCACGACGCGTCTGGAACGTCGAAGAAGGTCCGACGGCAATGTAGCTTAGGCGGTGCACACTGTTCACAGAAATTACAAAATTGCCATACGCCAAAATTCACAAATTACTCTCAAATTTTCTAAACAACTTGAAAAACTCCAAAAACAAACTTTGCATAACTTGCCAAGCTCTACACTTTTTCTTTTGGGATCAACCCCAAATTATGCTTAGATTTTGAAATGGATTTTCAGGGTAGGATTTAAATGCTGAAAAGCGGGCTTTTCTCGAAAAAAATCAAAATCCAAACAAACTTTGAACTAGAGTCAACTAATACAATTCAACACATACCACATGAATATAAACTTGTTTTAGTGTATGCATCTCAAAGTTTTCACCAAATGCCAAATGCTTTGCAATGCATATGATGACATGTCAGGTTTTAGTATTTTAAACACCCGAGGTGTTACAGCTGCGGCCGGCCATGGCGAGCGGCTGCGCGGCAGTAGGGCGAGCGAGAGCGCTGGGAGAGGGAGGGAGGCCAGAGGAAGTGAGCGTGAGTGAGGAGGGTGGCGGTCTCTGTATTCATGCACATGGGGGCGAGGTGGCAAGCGAGGGCAGCACAGAGGAGACACGCGGCGTCGCTCTCCTGCCTGTGGTCGGCCACGACAGCCATTCGTTTCTCAATCCTGAAGGAAGTAACCAATACTACCGCAAAAATACACGGAAACATCAATCTTTGTCTCCTCTTAACTCTGAATCCGTTTAGTTTTAGCACAAGAGGTAGTATAAAATGTTGTAGAGCTACGCGAGATCTCCAACTTTGCTTAAAGTGCCAAAGTCTAATTCGGCCTGGTTGGAGAGATACAAGCTTCCAAAGTGGGGTGGCGTGGCGCGGCGCTGTCGTCGCTGATGCGCAAGTTCCGGGAGCCCGTGTTCACGGGGAACGTCCAGCTCTGTGGGTACTCTGCTTCCACGCCCTGCCCGGCGTCCCCGTCATCCGCGCCGGCGTCGCCCGCGGAGGAACCGCCTTCGCGCGGAGGGCACAAGTTCAACAGGAAGGCGCTCGTGCTCATCGTCGCCGGGATCGTCGTCCAAGCAGGCGACGCCCAAGGAGGCCGGTGCTAGCGCTGATGCCGCCGTTGCCGGGCGCGGCGAGAAGCCAGGGTCTGGCGCGGTGGAGGTGGAGTCCGGCAGGGATGTTGGTGGCGAGCTGGTGCACTTTGATGGGCCGCTGGCGTTCACGACCGACGACCTGCTGTGCGCCACCGCGGAGATCATGGGGAAGAGCACCTCCGGCACCGTGTACAAGGCTGCCGCCGCGCGCCCCCACTCCACCGGCTTCTGCCCGCCCGCGGGGCTACGGCTGGCCTGGCCACGGCATCATGCCACATTAGCACGAGAAGCTAACGTGGAGAGGTATGGAACTAGGTGATACGGCGTACAAAGTTTATGAACCTAAAAAGCCACTTTGAAAGTTGATGGATCTAACCGAAACCTCCTCATAAGTTAATGGACCTCTGGTGCATTTAACTCTTAAAAAATTTTGACTAAAAACTAAAACTAAAAAAACATTAGAAAAAACTTGACTGAAAACAAAAACTAAAAAAACAATGAAAAAAAACTTGACTGAAAATTGAAAAAAAAACATTGAAAAAAATATTACTTATTTAACTGAAACTAAAAGAAACAATGAAAAAAACTAACACATTCAATTAGAAACTGAAATTACTAACTGATATTGTAAAATAGAAATTAAAAACTGAAATTATAAAATGAAATTAAAAACTGAAATTAGAAAATAAAATTAAAAATTGAAATTACCAACCGAAATTACAAACTGAAAATTGCAAAAAAGAAATTACTAACTGAAATTAGCATTAACATGCGCATGGCCTTAAGATTCGCATCCGTGCATGACTCGTGACCACCCGGGCTTTCCAAGCTTTTCTGACAGGCTGGATCCGATAACGAAAAAAAAGTAGATGACAGGTGGCCCCGACACGGTGTAAGTGGGGCTGTGAGACGGGGTCCATGGGAGGAATGAACGGGGTCCATGGGAGGAATGACCGGGCTATTCCAGGACACGCGTCGTGGGGTGAGCCGAGGTTAGAGCATCTCCAAGAGTTCCCTATTTGTCTTTCTAATACTTAGTTTTTAGAAGAATCAGAAAAAATCTCTCTCCAACAGTTCCTGATCCATCCTCCTAATATTTAGGCACTTGGGAAACTGAGCCAGTTCCCCGTAACTTTACGCGGCTCTGGGTTGCGCAGATGGGCACCGCGGCGTACATCGACCCGGAGAACACAGCCCACCCGAGCACCTATTCCGACGTCTACAGCTTCTGCATCGTCCTCCTCGAGATCGTCTTCGGCCGGTGCCCCGTGATCCTCCTGGAAGGCGGAGCGCACTTCATCCTGGTCAAGTGGATGTGGGGTCTGTACGGCCGGAACGCGATCCTCGACGCGGCGGACGAGCGGCTGAGGGCCGGTGATGAGGTCGACGACAGGTGCATGTAGAGGGTGCTCGTCGTCGGGCTCTGGTGTGCGCACCCTGACCAGAGCGAGCGGCCGTCCATCGAGCAGGCCATGCACGTCCTACAGTCGGAAGACGCCAGGCTTCCGGCGCTCACACCGTAGATGTACAGGACGGTGTCAGAGTTTGCCGTCACTGGACGAGTGGACGTGCTGTCGGCGCATTGTCCGTTCAGAGCTCCTCTTCCACGACCACCGGTGGCCACTCCAAGGTCTCTTCCGAGTCAGCGTCCTCGGCCTTGCTACAGGTTTCAAAAGAGTTAGCTTGATTTTTCTCATTTTTTTTCTCTGTGCAACTGAAAGTACCGAAACTGCTACTGACCGGCTGCTGTGCTTGTCTGCTGCTACTGACGGTGGCGGCGGTGGATGGGAGTTGGCGGCGGCGGCAGTGAGGTTGCAACGTGAGGGGTTCGACGCGCCCTATGACGTCTGGCGACAGGAAAAGAAAAACCGCAAAAAAATAGATGTGAGACCCAAATTTGATTTTTTAAAAGCAATTTATTAGAAACTCTTGGAGATGGCTTTCTTTTTTCCCTCCCAATACCTTTTTAGGAGTTGTAAAACTACAAGTTTTAGGAAGAAAAAATAGGGAACTCTTGGAGATGCTCTTACGGCCGTGTATGAGACTCTGCGCACCGTAGCGAGTGTATTCCCCAATTTTTTACAATTTGGTCTTTTTTTAAAGAAAATTTATGTTTGGCCCTATAGGAGACGTAAACTCATCTTTGGACCCCGGGGTCGGCGGCAGGACTCATGGCGTCGAGGTAACATGTCTCAGCGCCACAGATCTTGGCTCCGAGATGCTTGGCCGTGCACAGCAGGGCATGCTAGGTGGCGTTGACGTGGCCGATACCTCGACGCCAGAATACATGGCGTCGAGCTCGGAGCCATGTATTTTGGCGCCAAGCATGGATTCAAAGCGTGTGGCCACCGCTCTCTCTCGCGCTCTATCTCTCCCTCTCACCGCAGTCGCAAGCCAGCCCCGTTGTTGCCCGCGCCTCCTCCGCCAGCTGCCGCCCGCTCCACCGCAGCAGGCCACCACCCGCCGTCCCCCACGCGCCGGTCGCCTCCCTCGCTCCCCCATCCACTCCCTCAGCCGCCCTCGTCACCCAAGAGCTTCCTCCGCACGCACCGGCGGCGAGGGTGGCCCCTGCTTCTCCCCGACATCCTCGTCGGTCGGCAGGCCACCGCCGACCGAGTCTGACGGCGCCCCCCACAACCCCCCACCGGCCCCCACCAGCTCCCTTGGCTCCCAGTGACGCCACCCCCTCCCTCTAGGAGTCATCTCAAGTATTTTTTCTTTAGTTTTTTAATTGAGTTAGTTTACATAATGTAGTTATTTATTTTATATAGTTTTGTAGTTTGGTAAAGCTTTTTTTGTTATTTAGTGATTTAGTGATGTAATTTAGTTAGCTAATTTAGGTAGATATTTATTTAGATAATTTAGATAGATAGTTAGATAGTTAGGTAATTTAGTTATATAAGTAGTACTTGTAGTAGATGTAGTTAGATAGATAGGTGGTTTAGATTAGATACTTATTTATTTAGGTAGAGAGTCGAAAACTTTTATATGTATGTAATTTAATTATACCCATATTAGTTAAACCCGTAATAACTTTGGTGTTGTGCATACCAACTAGATGGACAACATAGTCACCCTGTATCATGGAGGAAGTGTGGAGGAAGATGAGTTTGAGAATGTCAGTTTTGTTGGAATGCAAAGGGTGCCAGTGATATTCGATGATTGGCTATTGTTTTCTGAGTTGTTTGGTAGGGCTCGTGATGAGCTTAGATGCAATTCAAATGAAGATGCCATCTTAGTTGAGGGGGTACTTCATCATGGCAGGTCAGGGATAATTTTGAGGCGGTTGGTCCCAATTGCATCAGAGGCTCAATGGGACAAATATGTCAAAACTGTCATGAAGAATGAGTTTCAATGTTTGGATTTGGTTGTGCGGAAGTTGTCCAATGATCCCACCCCTCATGGGTATTCACCCCCTAATGGTCATTCACCTCCTCATGGGTTGTCGCCAGGACTAGAGAATCACCTAAGGCATGTTCAGGTTAGTCGAAGGAACTATGTACCCTTGTTTGGCACATGTTCTCACATGCTATTTCATGTGCTTGTTGTTTGCTTTAATTACCTAAGGCACGTTAGATTTAGTCTAGGACCTCTGTACCCTAGTTTGGTACATGTTATCACATGCCATTTCATGTGTTGTGTGAGTTGAATTAGATAATCCACTATTTCGTTACGTTTTATTTGCACTACGTGAGCTCGTTTCACTACCTGTGCAATATTAAACTCAATATTATGGCAATAAATAATGAAACCAACAACACTATGAAAGGTCTAATAATAGAGCACATTAATCAACATAACAATATTTGAAGTACATAACGACAAACTAAATAACGTAGAACATACCCTAGGTACGTCCGTACTTAAAGTGCATTACATGACAACACAATGCAAAGTCCAAGATTAGACAACATTGTTCATGAATAAACCATAGAACTAGCAAGTCATGAAGACTACTGAGTGCAACGAGGCCACTTTCCCTTCCTCTAGGCATCGGAATTCTCCTCCATCGCTGCCTTCGCTCGGAGCGCACGCTCAAGCTTCCTCTCCCTCTCCTCCCTATACGAAGCAACACACCTCTTTTCCTCCTCTTTCTTGTGCTCCTTTTCTAGAGCCTCCTCTCTACGTCTCTTCTCCATCATCTCCTTGTCATCTGCCTCCCACTGTAACAGTTCTGTATCCACTCCTTGTCTTCCGGCTTGATCTTAGTGTCGATCCACTGCTCAAAATCACAGAGTGGTGGAGGGGTCTGCAACAAATGCAATTGTTACAAAACAAATAAATCATGCAAGACTTCATTTGACACAAAATAAATATTAAACAACATCAATTTCTTACCATCTTGTTAATGCGGCGCTGACGAAGTGTAGGCTCAAACACAAAATTGGCACACATCCAATACCTCTGCATATACGTGTCCTCTTCATCGGACTTGGCTACCTTGCAAGGATCGCCGCAAAAGCACATGGGCACTGGAACACCACTAGGCAGAGGCAACGGGTCGAAGGCATTTCCGGTCATCCGGCCATAACTACAATTGAACCAAATTTGTTCTAAGAACCGAAAGCAATGAACATTAAACCCTAAACCTAGGTTTTTTCTATTTATTGCACATAAATGAAAACATAATATAACACGATGATAAGAGATTACCTTGGCTTAGTAGCTTTACCACGCATTGACATCCTACCATTACATAATACAAAAAATAAAAAATCACTTCAAACATTAGGTAATAACGTATCTAGTGTTGCAAAATAGATGTAACATATACCAAATCAATGCGTAAAAAATGATAAGGGGAGAGAGGATACCTTGCTCGCGAAGATGTATGGATCAAATCCAAGTATCCAACGTCAAATTCATCGATTCAAGAGATTGGACGGGTTAGGGAGAGGAAGAAACTGAGAGGGAAGAGAAAGAAATGAGAGTAGCTGTAACAACCCAAAAATCCATACACCAAAAATACCAACTACAATTTTTTTCTCAAAACTCCCATGTGATGATGAGTGTCATGTATAGAATCCCAACCTAAGAGATGCATTAGGTCTAACCCCAACCCAAGTCAACACATATGCATGGCATGTCATTAGTTAACTGTGTTTATTTAAATTCTAACAAATAAAGTATTGCATACATTGTTAATTCAAAATGTGATTTGGATTTCCATTTGAGTTATGTTATGCTTAACAACTCCAATAAAGTAATAAACCATAAAGTAATTAATACTCAAACCAAAGAATAAAGGTTTAAAGAGAAAAACTAATTCTATCTTTGCATAACAAAACCACACCTATTTTTGTTATACAAAATAGCTAAATAAATTCCTAATATTTATATAAGAATGTTGTGGGCCTCATATCTAAAACTCCAATGAATTTGGTGCACCAATTTTGAATTCAAAAACCAAAACCAAATTTGAATTCAAACAAAGGAGAAGAAATGAAAAACAGAAAAAGGAAAAAGAAAAGAAGAAGAAGCTTCTCGGCCACCAATGTGTAGAAATTTCAAAGAAGCAACCCCTGCCAACAGGCAAGAAGAAAGCAGCCTAAACTCACAAGCCAGCCCAAAGTAGTAGCCCAGCCAGGCCGCCCACGCCACGCCCCCCCCGCTTTCCCTTGCTGCCGCTGCCACTTGGCCCCGCATGTTAGCCGCACCCCGCCACAGTGTCGTCTTCCCCCCCACGCCTCAACCGCCGCGCGACTAGAGGCCAACAGCAATGGCAGGGGCGGGCCTGGGGGTCACACCCGGGGCACGGCCTTGTCCCCTTGGCACCGCGCCCACGCAACCACGCGTGCGCCGTTGGATGCAAGCACGCGCCTCTGATCGCCCTTGATCCCCATCCGCCGTTCACCGAGCTCCATGGCCGAGCTCGGCTATAAAAGCCTTGGCCTCGGGTGCCCTAGAGCTTGTCCCATCACCCCGCCGCCACCTTGTGGCCATCCACCGCACACCCGAGCCAGAGAGGATAGAGGAAGAAGAGGGAATGAGTGAGGAGCAAGGAAGAGGAGGATCGGAGCCACCCGCGTGCTGCCGGAGTCATCGGAGCCAAAGACGACGCTGTCGTCTTCATCACTGACGCGGTTCGGCACTGCACTACACTGCTTCCGGAGCTACACGGCCATGACCCGCCACTGCACCGCCATCCATTCACCGTCGGCACCTACGGTGAGCGCCCGACTCTCCCCTGCTTGCCGCCGGACTTTGCTACTCCGAACATGGCGCTCCATACCGTGAGCGCGTAGGCCAAGGACATCTCCGGCCTCTGGGTACACAAGCACAACACACTCACGCGCACACCCGTGACCACCTCCGAGCCCTTGGACGCCGTAGCAGAGCGCGTGCACGCCGCGCTCACGATGTCGCCATCATACCGTGCACCACCACTCGCGCACCCGGCCGC